AATATCCAGTCTTCTTGAAACCAGCAATACCACAAAATAGTTGGCTTTTTTTGCCTATGATCTAATCTCCTAACAATGGTGTCTTTGGTTTTACAAACTGCTGACTGTAGTAGTTTGGACTTTCTACCACATAGTTAATTGATAAGTTACTGTCCCTCTGTCCTCTGCTTTGTTTAGTATGATACAACCACACTACTGTATGTAGGAAAATGCTTTCATAAATATAGTTGACTACAAATTGGAAATATATCCTTGTCTCTTCTGGCCCTCCTATCAAACCAGTGTCATTATTCAATTAGTGAGGAGCAAAAATGGAAAAGAATTACTTTCCAAAGATTCTGTTCTGTTATGTGTGCCACTTACTGCATGTCTTGGAGACTCTGCTTCCTGTACTGAAGGAATGCTCTATGCTCAGACATCTGTGTTACACAGCAGCATATGTGCATTCAGAGGCTGTGAATATCTTTAGAAGTGTACATGATTGTAAGTAGGGAACTGAATTCTTCATTAGAACATCTAACTTTTTTTTACCTTCTTTTACAGCATGTTTGTGATTTTCACAGTAATAGTACAATTTATCAAATAACTGTGATAGTTTATTACAGTACTTGATCAAAATGTTACCTAAGAATAATAAATTGAAGTCCTCAGGCTTGTGTGAAATACTTCTATATCAGCTAATTATTTTTTGTTGCAAAGTAGGGAATGTCTGATTGACAAAAATATCATACATCAGCTATTTCCTAGCTTACTTGCATTTGCAGAATTGCACAGACCCTTAACATACCACTATGCATGAAAGTATATATCAAGTATGCAGTAGCGGTGTGATTTAACCACATAATTTTTGTTTTGTTAGCCCTACTATTTTTCACTATCGTTTTATAGTCATTATAAAAAAAGTTTAAAAAAGTAAAAAGTAAAAAAGACACAGTTGATAATAATGCAAGTTTTCAGTCTTTATCTGCACAGTTTTTTTTATTATCAGTTTTGCAACAGTGTGTATTTGTGAAACAATTCTAGGTGTTGTAAGTTTTGGTTTGCACATTGTGCCTGCAAGTGGTTATAAACCTCCCAAATTCTGAATTGTTAAGAATAAATGGTGCTGCTCAGGTAAAAGAAATTTGTGGCAGAACAGAAAACTTGAACTCAGGCTCTCTTTGTTTCTATTACTGCTGTTTAATACCTGCCCAGCTTTTCTCATTAGTATAAATTTGTACATGTGATTTACTCAACTGAAAGTGTTTTGTCTTTCATAGCGTGTTATGTCAGTCTTTCTTAATGAGGAGCAAATTGCACACCACAGTTGTTCATGAGGATTTTAAAGCTTACATGCTCCAGTTCAGGTTCTTCAGAACTGAGTGAAGCTGAATAACCACTGATTTTTCAAAGGCTTGGGAGTATTTTTCTTAAGACTTCAATGTTACCCATCAACTACAAAGTATGCTTATTTATTATCTGCCTCAGTGCTACTTTCTCAGAAGCCTTGAGTATTGAATAAAGAAAATAATAGGAGAAGCTTAACTGTAAATCAAGACACAAGAATACAGACTTAGGTTTGCATCCTGCTGAACACTGCAGTTCTCCACAAATATATTTTTCAGTAAAATTTAGCCTTGGAAATTGGTGGATGGAGGACTGAAAATGTGCTATCCGGGTGGCATTGACTGCTACATTTGAAGGTCACTTTTTTTCTGTATTAATGTTTTCTTGTCTTTAAACTGTTACTAATGTTCCTTCTTTGTTTGAACTCTCCAGTAGATGTTTAAAAGCTTGGTACTACAGGTTTGGTTTTCTTTTAGTAACTTAAAAATAATTTGTCCCCTTTACACAGAGTGATTTTCATTAATAAATGTAGTCCTGGATTATTTGGCCGTATTTTTCCTTAGCATGTGTTGTTACTTCCATGGGACCATAAACTAATGAACACTGTTGTCTGCATACAATATCCAACAGCTGCAAAATTAGTTCTGGTGACAATGGAGAAAAGTGAATTTCACTGGAAAATGATACTTGCCTGTGGAAGAAGCTGCCCATGAGCTCACCCTCTGGAAAATATCCCGGTGGCCTCACATCCTAGCTTTTTTCAGTGCACAGTAGCACAAATGTGAGCCAAAGTTTGAAAAGCTAGTGCTGTGTGTTTGCTTTGGCATGGGGCATCCCTGAGGCTTTCCTTTAAGAAACGAGTCTTGAAGTTTTTTGCTGAAGGGAATAATTTTGTCATTCCTCTATGCAAAATGAACTGATTCTTATCTATACCTACTATATCACATCATATATATAGAAGAGTTTGAAATATCACTGCCAAGATAAAAAAAAAAAAAATCATAAAACCTAATTATCCTTCTTTAAGGGAAGAGAGGGATAGGAACAATATGGGAAATGGGTAGCTTGGTGTGTAATTACAAAAAATGTGTTCTTTTATAACTACATTAAGTTTAATTTTTTTGACATCTGTCAGTTTGGGTTTTTTCTTCCTGCACCCCACTACCTACCAAAAGCCTATTTTCTTACAATTTTATTTGGAATTTTCAGAGCCAAGGCTAGCACCTTTCATCTTTTTTGGTGCGTGTATACCTTGTTGGTCCTCATCTGTATGTTGTCCTGGAAAATAAATTATTTGTCCTGAAAAAATGTTTACAACCACTGCTGCAGAGTGGAAGTGTGTTTATACCTTTAGTGTCAATGAGAAAAGCTGCAGATTTGCTCAAAATAGCTGGAAAGTGGCCTTGACCCAGACTGCCATAATGCATGTTGCAGTGCAGAGGCTATGAGCAAAGGATATTTTATAGTCATAACTCTAACTAGGTTTTGATGTGCCACTTGACAAGAGGGCACAGTGAAGTGCTGCTCAGTCTAGGTAGGATCTCTAGGCCATTGCAAAAACTTGGGGACTCAGGATTTGCTCAACACTAAACTGCTACAAAGCCACTCTAATATTAGGGAAATTGGAGTTCTTCCCTCATTCTGAGGTGTAAGGTGCGTGGTCTGTGCTGGCCTTGTGTAGGTGTTAGGATCTCTTGAGTGTGTGGGATGATGGCCGAAACATTTTCCCAGTGTGGTTGAAACCCTTGTTCAGATAAAGTTCAGAAAAGGTGAAAATAATAATTTGGTTTGTTTTTCACCCTCTTAAAAGCTAAGTAAGACTGAAAAAACAGGAAACAAAGCAGAACAAAAGTGCTGTTTATATTTCTTTATTATGCTATGTGAAACTTAGTATGAGATATAATAAACTGGTATGATTAATAGCTTATCCTCACAAGAGTGAAAAAGGACAAAGAGCAGGTATTGCTACCCTTGACAAACTTTTAGAAAATTCTTTTAATCACATAAAGTCATACTTTTTTTTCTTTTTACCTCTCTGCTTTTGTATGTATTTTGATAATCTAGGAAAGCAAACCCCAATTACTCCCTCTTCCTTTAAACTCATCCTTTGGCCTGGGAAATTACAGTAGCTGAGAGAAGTAGAATCACATCGGCATGCTTAATCAGTAGGTCCAGAACTGCCAACTACTAATATAAATTACAAAAACAGAGGGTTTTTTATTTTGTTTTGTTTTAAGAAAAGAGAGCAAATAGAACAATCATTCAAAACACTCATAACTTTTGATGATACATCATTTTGTCTTTCTAGAGGTAGAAATATGTAGATAGAGAAATGAAGATAAGTAGAGAATGGTTTTTAGAAGATACTTTTTGGGAGAAGGCATTAAATACTGCAGGTTACTGTTAAGATAAAACTGTTAAGGTAGTCTGAGTTACATGAACCTCTGGTTTAAAAACGGTACTGATATTTATGAGATATATAAAAATTATATCAATATTACTATATATTAAAAATTATATATATATATCTCATATATATATATATATATGAGATGTATTTCTTGAAGAGAGGATTTTTAATATGCGATGAAAATTTTTGAATGACTGATCTGTGTCATTGCAAAAATTTAAACTAGACTATAAAACTTGACCTGTTTGCTTAGCATCTTTTTTTCTTTGTTTTAACTCCAGCATGACTGGAAATTCCCATGATTTGTATGTTGTTCAGTGGTTAATCCAGCTCTATTCCACTCATTTACATGGTCTAAACATCCCTTTCAGTTTTGGTGGGATTATGAAATTACATTTGGTCTCTGGAGCACTCTCCTGTTTATCATGTCAGTGGGTCTAATGGGCATATATGGTTTTTTCATAGTCCAAATTCACAGATTGCTGGGGACTTGAGAGACAGTTATGGCCTTATGGTTTCCAGGCAAAGCATTAAACAGTTCATAACAAACTGAATTTGTATTAGCTTGTTGTCGCCTCTTTGTCTGTCTCTTCAGTTTTCAATAACAGGTCATATGATTTCTTCATTCATTCCTCCCTAAGCAGTGTAAGGCTTCTTCAGAATGCATGAATAAATAAGGTAAAAACCTAAAGAAATTAGGTATTGCAACCTGACCAATGCTGGACCTAACACAGTTTGATCCAATGAGCAGTGTACTGGTCAAGATAGTAGAGATCTGAAGAAACAGGTATATGGTGAGCTCAGCTTGAGTGAGAAAAAGTCTTGCGATGGATTTCCATGAAGTATTCCTAAGTCTCAGGGCAGAAAAGTTAATGGAGATCTTGCACACTGGAGGCAGACAAAGGAAGTATTGCAGTGGTCTCTGGTCATGGGAGCCAGCAGTTTTGTGTCCCCACACTGTCAGCACCACTGGCTGGGGCAGCTCTCACTGTTTTTTTAGTGTCCTTTTTATGGTCCTGAAAATTGCTCATAGTAGGCAGTAGCCTAAGTGCAAAAAAGCTTTTCTGTCTTTTTAAGGGGTGTCATAGAACTCAAGCAGTAATTATGGAAATTTTCAAAATGCAAATCCCAAGCTCTCCTTTGTTTAATGGGCCCAGAGCACAGTGGGGATAAACAGCTTCTGGCTGATATATTCATTAAAAATTATGCAACTGTTTCTGTTTGAAACACTAGATCAATTGGTTGATTGATTTGTTTGTTTCAGGAATTTATCTCTTGGATTTAATCTACATAGATTCTGCATATCCCGCTTCAGACAGCATAATGGAGAATGAACAAAGATCCAATCAAATGAACAATATTCTCCGAATAATAGCTGATCTGCAAGTATCCTGCAACTATGGTTGGTAAATTTTGTTATGCCTATCAAGCCTTAACTGAAATTTCTTTTGTGCGAAATTGTGGAAGCAGATTTTGGCCCTGAGGGAACACAAGAGGCTAATGATGGTAGAGTTGAACACTAGTAAGTGATGTAGCTTCCACTTCTGCGTAGCTTCAGTCTTACCAGTAAATTGGGCACATAAGCATGTATTCTGAATTGTAAGAGCTATAACAGAGGTTGTGTAGAGTTTACTGTTAGATGTGGGGTACAAATGATATACTTTCAAGTGCAGCTGTTGCATTTGGCTTATATACTGTTTCCACCAGGGGCAATCAGTAAGAATTATCTTAATATCTTCCCTTTACTTTGTAGCAGATACAATATCTAGAGTGTGGTATGTGTTCATTTGGTTATCATTTGTTGTTAGCATCCTGGTGATATATTTACAAAATGAAATACAAATATTTCAGTCTACCACTACAGTTGTTCAATGTGCAAAGTTTTTGCACTTATGTTGCTCCTGGATGAAGTCAAGTAAACGCAGAATTGTTTCTTTTTGTTAACAGAATTTTACTCTAAAAATTTCTGCAGTTCTAGCCTGCTAGTGAAGCTGCATATCAAGAAATGTGCTGGTTTTGGTATCTTAGTGAATACTCAGTGTACTCTTGGTGACTTAGCATGACTTTTCATTGCTTAAGCATGTAACAAGCTGAAAAGCCTTGAGTGCAGCTAAACAATTAAATTGAGAAAATTTAAAAGCTGCCGTTTTGGATAACTTAAAGAAAAAGGATTGTTAGATTGTGAAAAAACAAGGTCAGATGTTAGCTGTGTATGCTTAAGTACCCAGCCCTTTTTTGTTAACTTCAGTATTTCAAAATATTTAAAGGTAGGAACTAGGGATAATAATGTATGATTCTGAACAGCTAGATTATTCAGGTGTCATTTTCTTATTGTGGGTTTCATATTGTCTCTGAATGCTTTGGATGATAAAGAAACTTCCTTATTTCATTGACCCCTTTCCTTTTTACAGTTTTGGTAGCTTGCTGCAGTGCTATGTATTAATTTTGAGTCCTTTGTTAAAATTACGATGAAAATTAAAATACAGCCTTGAAAAATATTCTGGGATAACAGATGCTTTTAAAAGAGTTACCTTTACAAGAGAGCAAAACTTAAGTTAGGTGCTACAAGGTATGTTCCTATCCATGAACCATGTGTCAAGAGGTTTTTCTGTCATTCTGAACTTACTGTCTTTCATTCTTGATATTCAGCATTGTAATTATTAATTACTTATTTAATAACTTTTAAGTCTCCTCAGTTCGTGGGCAGATGAGAACCACTAATACCTATAGATACTGCCTTCAATTTTCCCCAGAACAATGAACAAAAATTCAAGCAATTTTGCAGCAGATAATATTTTTCCACCAGTGAGATAGCATCCAATAAAATCCACCAGCTTTCATGTTGATGAAATGCATCTGTATTTTCTTTAAAAACTGAAAGCATCACTTTTGCTCAGTCAAGTCAACAATTTTTTAGAGTCAAAGTAGTAGTTCTGCCCAATTTATTTTTTTGGAGGTTCAAATTCTGTTTCTATGAAGGTATCCTAAGAACCAGGAAAAAAACACCTGAAAAAATTATAATTTTGGATGACATAAATGTTAATGGTTTTTGTTTGTTTGTTTGAACACTCCACAGATCATCTCACAACACTTCCCCATGTGCAAAAGTATTTGAAGTCTGTCCGTTACATTGAAGAACTTCAGAAGTTTGTAGAAGATGACAATTACAAGTACGTTCTGTTCTTTTCTTCAGGCATTGGGAAATGTAACAGAAAGATTACTTAGTCATTAGTTTTATTAAGAGCTGAGCAAAAAGCCCTTGGCCCTTGGTTTTAGGGTGTTTCTGCTAAGTAAAATTCAGAATGACTGTCTTTCTTTATGACTATAAGCAAATTTACAAAGTGAAATATACTAGTGAAAAGTAACAGTTTAGAGTGGGTGAAAATCGAGTCTTTATTATATTACATGATGATTGTGTTCTGGGAATTTTGTTCAGTAACACTAAAGTCATGTAGTATTATGAATAATACATTAAGAACATCTACCAATTTCAAGTTATTATTTTAATAAGTTAGTATTTACAATTTAGGGGTTTAAGTTTTGAGGGTTTAAGCATGTTAAAACAATGCTTACAGAAGACCTGGAGAAGAGCTAAGCCACAGAGAAGTTTGACGCAGACACCAGAGACCACATTGGTCACTATGTGAATGTGCTCTAGTTAAAAGAAGTGATACTCCCTCGCCAGTAATTCTGAGAGAACTAGCAAATTAAGTCATAGGCTAAAGAACCAAGGTTTTAAATAGTGCAACCAAGCTAGATGGAATGCTATACAATTAACTATTAACAAATAGAGTAACTATTTAGGTGAGCAGAATTTGAAGTATTCAAAGCAAACATATGTTCAGTCATACAATGAAGCATAAAACAGTATAAATAGTACAAAATATTTTAGCATGTTTTAGAGAGCAGAGTTGGTAATGAACTTCCTTAAAACCTTTCTTGTTACCAGTTTTGTTAAACACTTCAGTTAAGAATTTTGTTTCAGAATTTATGTGTACTTAGACCGTATGCTAATAAAACAGTGATGTAAGGGTTTCTTGAAATAGAATATCACAAAAAAAGAATCTGATGACTAAAATGATAGTGCCACAAACCCCAGAATGTTATATAATTATTCTAACATTAGTTTATGGTGTTGATCAGTAGATAGCTGTCACAAGTGAGATACAGCCGTGAAAGGACTAATTCATCCCTACTGCCTATCAAATATAGTGTTTCTGTGAAAAAATAGAGTTGTTTATACTGCTTCAGAAGGACTTGGTGAGAGCTTACATGGAACATTATATGCTGCTCTGGCCATCCATGCTTGCATGCTTGAGAGTTTAAATAAATGATGGTGCAATCAGATGAATAAAATCTATCTTGTAACCCCAGATGTAATGAACTAGGTTGGGCTTTTACCTGAGAAAGGAAAAGTTTAGGTAAGTGAATCACTGTGTATAAACACAGCTGGAATAAAATGGGGAGGGTAGAAATTTAAATGAAATTGTAATGATATCACAAGGATAAAACGAGGATATCACAATGATATCACAAGGATAAAACACATAGATAAGCTAAATGTTGAAATGTGGTTTGTAAATATCAGAGTAATGGAATTCTGGAACCTCTTCTTATTTGGACTAGTGAGACAAATAATTAAATAATTTTAAGTTGAAACCTGATCAGTTAATTAAGTGAAGGCTACCAGTTAGTGTTTGTGAAAAGAAAAGAGCGTATTCAGTAATCAGAAGACTCTGCATTACCAGTGTGGAGTCATGTACACATGAATGTGAAGAGTGACCTGCACCAACTATTTACATCTTGCTGCAATTACTGCTGACACTGCTGGCATACAGACGCAACCTCCTACTGAGATGGGAAAAAAAGGTGTCATCATAACAGAGACAAAAACCCATGCTTTAGCATAACATGAGTCAGACAAATTTGCCTTTTCAATTTTGAATATATGGAGTTGGTGGTAACTCCAGCTGTTCCTCTGAGCTCTGGCTCCAGCCGCAGCGCATGATGCAGGACTATACCTTGACCAGATCTGTTGACAGGAATTCTTGGGATGAATTCGTGTGGAACTTTGCTTTCCCTGAGAGAACAGTTCTAAAAGTAAAAGCATTCAGATAAGGTGTTCTTTTGGAACTTCTCAAAGTATTATCAGGGCATACTACAAATAGAGATAAAATATCTAAAATTTGTCCTCTTGCTTAGGCTAAACTTCTGCAAAAGAAGCTGAAAGAGCACTGGGTCATTCACTTAAAAGCTTATGCTTGGTGATGATTTGAGATGTTTGTGCTTTTGTGTCTGGTTGATCACAGATACTAAGAATAGTGATGTTTCTCTAGGAAAATAATTTGGGGAAAAAAAAGTGTTTAGTGTTTTCATAGCAAAACTTATCTGCTCCATGGAATTAGAATTCCTGCCAGAGTACTATGGTAGAATGTGTAAATTCTTCCTTTATTCAGTCTTGTGACATTGGATATGTTTCACTCGCAGGCACATTGTGCAAGAGATGCACATTGACCATGAGCAGTTATTTTGCTCATTTTGGTCTCAGCCTTTGAAAAGGTCAAATGGTCCAGGACTTCTGTTAAGGGTAGTCTGAGATTTAAATCTCAGTGTTAAAATTTAACAAATGGTCTTTTATTTACTAATTTTGCACACACTTCTGTGCTTCATTAAGGTTATGAAGACAGAGAAAACTTAAACTAAGTAGTCATAGTTAGTAGAGGCTTTACATCCCCTGGATTGGATTAAAGAAACTGTTCATATTGTTCAATTTGACTTTTAGATGGAGTTTCCTGATGATGCAACAGTGTTAACACCATGTATACAATAGCTTTCATGAACTGTACTATGAACTTTTCATGAACTGTACTATGAACTATTTCAGAAAAAATGAATTAAACAAGTATTTTCCATAAACATATAATATTTGTAAAAACTTGAAATAATTCCATTTTAAATTTGAATATTAATGTAGCTTTAGTAGCAGCCTTCCTAATAATGCTTGAAGGTATTTGATATATCTTAAAGATAATTTAATTATTTTTTTTTAATTTAGTTATTTATGAGATTAATTCAATCAAGTTTTAGTGGTTTACTTTCCAGGCTTCACTGTGGCAAGGAAAAACTGGACTAAACTCACAAATGTATTAAAAAGCGGGGAAGATTTGATTCTTACCACAGGAAAGTTTCTACAGTTTATATACATTGGAAAACTTCGATCTTTTTCTACCATGTTTGTTTCATCAGAATAAAACTTTAATTAAAAAAAAATTAATTTAATTAATTCATCGAGACTCATCACATCTACCCTTAAAGAAGACTCTCATTCCTCTTTCATTTTTACACTTGGTAAGAAGTTTTTGGGTTTTGTTTTGAGTATTTGATCTCACGTTTTCCTCTCAGTTTCCCTTTAGTTTCATAGCATTTTCTGGTTGGTCCCATGCCAGAAGAAACTGTAAGCTTTAAAAATGCCGAGAGTTCTAAGTTTTTAGAGTGGGTAAGAATCTCTTCTGTCTTTTTCTTTGCAGTGACTGCTCTTTTTGAGCCAGGGACAGCATTAGTGCTCTCTGCAGAGAGGTATGTGTCACCTTTGGCATGAAGAACAGAACTATCTCAGTACCAGGCTGTCAGGGAGAGACGCTTAGATCGTTGTCCTAAAATGTATTGGCAGAATCCCAACACACGTTTTGCCAAATGGGAACCTCAATTACACTGGAAAGGAAAATATGGCAGCCGCTTTATATAAACAAAACTTTTCTCAATTTTTTTTGTGCTAGTCCAATTGCTTCCTTTAGGTTTGTGCTTGTCAGCAAGTAGGAATGCTCCAGAAAACCCCTGACAATGATGTCATGTCCTAAAAATAACAGATGTTTCTTGGTCAGCCCATACACTGTTTTCTGCAGAAGCTGCTCAGTTTTAGCAGCATGTAGCATTGTGGCACAATGCCACATCCACTTCTAACCAGAAATACCTTGCAGCCATCCCTGTAAATTTTTTTGCTGACCTTTTGGTGTCATTAGGTCAGGCCTTGTATTCTCATGGCTGTTTTTTGAGTGAAACCAGTTTGAAGACTTTTATTTGTTTTACAGTATTATCTATCTGGACAGGACAATCAGGCTTCTACCTATGCCTATAAATTAGTTCTTCAGAGCATATAGGGCAATATAGAAAAACAGAAAAACAGTTCACATTTAGGTTCAGATAGGCAAGATGCTATGGGAAAACATTCAAGAGAAATTGATCTGCAATTGAAAGGCTATACTGACTCCTAGCAGTGCTGGTGCTATAGAAGTCCTAGCTGTACCATGTTAGTTGCAGTCCTATGGGAACAGGTATTAAATGACAGGTGCTTAGTACTTATAGTAAGTATTAGTACTTAAATTAGTACTTGTAGCAGTGAACCTTGCTTGCAGTTCGTCTTCAATCAGCTCTCGGGCAGCTATATTCACTGGATCTTTTCCACCAAGAATTGTGGTGAAAGGTGGGGTGGAAGAAAACCTTCATTGTTAGTCTGAGGTTCATAGTGATCCAGTGGCCATATGGTTCAGTAGCTGTAATTGTGGCTTGACTGCCTCTCCACAGGACACAAAATAGAATCATAGAAGCATGGAATCACTAAGGTTGGAAGAGACCTCCAAGATCATTGAGTTCAACCTTTGACCAATCACCACCTTATTTACTAGGCTAGGTAAACTGAGTGGCACATCCAGTTTTTTCTTGAACAGTTCCAGGGATGATGATTTTACTCCCTCCCTGGTCAGCCCATTCCAAATGTCTGATAACCCTTTCTGTGGAGAAATTCTTCCTGATGTCCAACCTGAACCTCCCCTGGCACAGTTTGAGGCTATTCTATCTTGACCTGTTGGTTCCCTGAGAGAAGAGGCTGATCCCACAGCTGGCTATACCCTCCAGTCAGGGAATTGCAGAGAAGGTCTGCTCTGTGCCTCTTTTTCTCCAGGCTAAGCTCCACCCGCTCCCTGAGCTGCTTCTCATATGCCTTATCCTTTAGGTCCTTTCCCAGCTTTGTTGCCCTTCTCTGGAACACTCCGGTGCCTCAATGTCTTTCCTGCAGTAAGGTTCCCAGGGCTGAATCCAGGATTCAAGTTTTGGCCTCACCAGTACAGAGGGACAATCACTTCCCTAGTCCGGCTGACCACAGTGCTTTTGATACAGTCCAGGAGGCCGTTGGCCTTCTTGCCCACGTGGGCATACATGAGCTCACGTTCAGCTGCTGTTGACCAGCGCCCCTAGGTCCCTTTCTCCTGGACCACTCTGCAGCCACTCTTTCCCATCCTGTAGAAATGCATGGGGTTGTTGTAACTGAATTGCAGGAACCAGCACTTCATCTTGTTGAACCTCACATCGTTGATCTCAGCCCATCAATCCAGCCTGTCCAGATCCTTCTGCAGAGCATTCCTACCCTCCAGCACATCAGCACTCCCACCCAACTTACTGTCATCCATGAACTTACTGAGAATGCGCTCAATCTTCTTGTCCAGATCATCAACAATGATGTTAAATAGGACCGTGCCCAAGACTGAGCCATTATTAATACTAACTCCTCAGTTTTTAAGTTTCTTGTGGGCAGTCTCTGAAACTGATATCTAGGATTTATCCTGACCTGTCTCTTAGCTGAACTCATGCAATATAATTTTGGAATGTTGAAATTTCATATGTTAACATTTACACCATGCACCAAAACTAGGCTTCCTTACCATGGTAAAGCAAAGATTTGTTTTTTGAAAAGGATTCCTGAAACAAAAAAATAAATTCTAACAGTACTGTGATATTGGATGAATATAGTGTCTTCCGAGATGAAATTCTAATGATACATGGGGAAAACACAAAATAGAGCATCTTTATGCCTTAGGAGTGGTTTATTAGGCATGCTGGAACCAAGGTAGTTTTTTTTATTTAAAGTAATTCTGGTGATTGACATTGAACATTCAGCTGTAAGGATGTCGTTAGGTGTGTGAGGATATGGATGATGCATGTTGGTGGTAAGACATCAGGTTTCAAAGTATGCACTGATCTATTGAAAGTATCACATTAAGCCTCTCAGGGGCCACAGATTCTGGCTTCAGGGGTCTTGTTTGGGAAACACTGGGCATGTATGTGCAAGCGTGGAATTTGTGCTGTTCCATGGAAAATGGAGTGTCAGAGGAATTGCAAAATTGAATTTGGGTGGTGGCAAACAAGCCAGGACTGATTGAAACTGTACTGACTGTCAGTATCTCTTCTTGGAAATAAAGAATGTTTTTGATTCTTTCCAGCCTTCTGGAGGAGAGGGGGAATAGAGGAGAAGGTGGCTCAGGAATGACATCTCATTGTCAGAATATATTCCCTTTGAAATGCTGTCATAGGTTTCTCCCTCCACCCCTGTGCATGTTTTTATCTGAAGTCAGAAAGCCTTTCCTTGGGGTGCACAGCAGGGTGCTGCAGCTAGAAACTTTCCAGCTTTTGTGTGTGTTCACTGCTGTGCAATGACAGCAGTTGTTTCATTTGGATTTATGCCTATTCCATTAAAATTTACTTAACATTGTAGTCCTTCATGTAGACCTTTTTGTCAGACTGGTACAGAGCAAAGGACCCATGGATGTCAAGTTAAGAGTGCCTTGAGAAATGGCAGAAGTGATGTGCACTGAGAGATTGAGATTTGTTGGAGTGCTGAGAGCACAAGAGGAGTGAGCACATAGTAAAACACATGGAGTGAGGCAGCATGGCATATAATACTTTCTTCTAATTACTTTCTTTTACTTTTAAGTGTTGGTCACTTTGTCCTATTGAGCTTCTTTTCTATAAGTCACAGTAACACAATTGCTATTTCTGTGTGCACATGGTAACAGTAAATATGCTTTCATGTTTAGATGGAATAAAATGTTAGGTTTGTATCTAAATTACTAACTTTGTGAGTTGGTTTTTTTTTTTTTTATTTTTTTTTTTTTTTCCCAAGGTAAAAGGCTGGATGAAGTTACGTTTTTGAACTGAGAGGGAGGATTAAATAATGTTTTCTCTTTCTGCTTTCATAGACTTTCCTCAGAGTTTCTTTCTTGGTTCTGACAGATAGTGATTTATTTTAAAAAATAATTGTTTTGTTACATCACAGAATAAATAACTACACTTCCAAGAAAGCAAAATTCCTAGTTAGCACTGCCAAAATAATTACTTCTTCAATTTTTTTCAACTTCTATTGAGAATTTTTTTTTTGTTAATTTCTCTAAAAACTTGTTTTTCCAGATTATCTTTAAGAATTGAGCCAGGTAACAGCTCTCCTCGACTGGTTTCCTCCAAAGAAGATCTTGCAGGTATAAAACATAATTTGAAAATTTGAGTAAGGAAATAATTTTAATTACAGAAATCCTCTACTGAAGTATATGGGAAAACCTGGAGGTACATTGGTAACATGAGTCAACAAGAAAGATTGCTGACTTATATAAAAGCAGTCCCAATTCAAGGGATGTCACAGAGTGTTTGCTAGTGTTGAAACAGGTGTCAGATTGTGTGATTTTTTTTACAAATGCTTGTGTTTTCATCATTATTTTATAAGTGAAGAAAAAAGATCCCTCTTGCAGTACAAAAAAAAAACCAATGCAGTGAATAACACAGGAAATTCTTCCTTCAGGTTTCTGTGTGATCACATATATTTGAAACAATTTCATTGTCAACAGCAGGAGGACAAAAGATTTGTAGCAACAACAGCTTCTAGCAACATCTGAAAAACTAGAGCACCATAAGTTGACAAAAATTAATCTGCTGTTTATTGCTATGACCAGGCTAAACAAACATCAGGCTATGTGAAATATACTTCCTGCTATAAGAGCCATTATCTCAAAAGCTGTTACGTTTTAATCTCTTGAACCTGAGTGGCCAATTTTCTGGCTCATTATGTAAAACCATGTGTGAATGTAAAAACCCCAAGGAGTCCCGACCACATCTGACATGCAGTTTTAATTGGCATTAAAAATGTCTTTTTTTCTCACCAATGAAAGTCAAAGTAAATGAGAGAAAGAAAAAGGAAGATGCTAAATAAAAAATGAACAAAAATCCCATGTGTTTTTCCTCTGCCTCCCAGCTCTTCATGTTGGCTGCTGTCAAATGACCAGTTGTTTATAGGGAACCTCTTGTTTGTCCTTGTATTGTGATTGCTATTCACAGAGTCAGATAAACATTTGACCTGGTCTTCAGTTTCTTTAGGAAGGTGCTTTTCCTTTCCCTGCTTAATGCTCAGTATTATTAATTGCTGCATAAAGGAGTAGTTCACAGGAATTTTTTTTATTAGATGAGTTCAAAAGTAGTTTGTAATGAACACTTTCTTCATACAGAAATGCATTTGCAAGTTGACTTCCCCACAGGAGCCATCACGGTGTTGTTCTCTGAATCTGTGTCTGGAAAGGTGTTGATAAGTTACCAGGCTTCTGCTAAGCAGTGCCCACTGCATCAAGGCTATCTCTCCAAACCCAACCCCCTGCCAAAAAGGCCAGTAGGTTGGGGGATGGGCAAGAGGTTGGGAGGGTACATAGCCAGGACAGCTGATTTAAGCTGCCCAAAGAGATATCCTACACCATATGACACACTCATCAATAAAAGCTAAGACAAAGGTGGGAGCAAGGCATTTATTATTAAAGTTTATCTTCCTAAGCATGGGCTACAATGCTTGGGTTAGGCCATGGCTTTTTATTGCCTGCTGATGGGAAGTAGACGATAATTTTTTCTTTTTATTTCTTTTGCTTTTGGACACAGTCATTGCTTTTTAAAATCAATTTGCCTTTATCTCAGCCCACAAAGGTTTTGCATCGTATTTTCTTCACCCTGTCCTGTGAAGGATGGGGAGTACTGACAGCCCATGAAAGTCAACCCACCACATCATGCCACATTTTCTCTTGCTTTTGTGAGGATTTGATTTTTCAAACTAGAGACTTGAAACAAAGTCATTGCCTCTCATTTGATTGCATTTTTCTTACATATATAAAGCAGACAAGTAAACATTTTATTTTCTGGCTTTTACTTTATATTACTCATGTCTACATGCTCAACTCTTGAACTTTGATGTTAACACTTCATTTATATGATTATGGAATACGATTTCAGTCATAGCAGCATGGCATGTGGTCATCACCAGTACTCTGTAAGTCTTAATCAAGGGCTGAGACTTTATTAGAACTCTAATGGAAGGCAATTAAAAATACAGTTCCAAAGTTGGAACTGTACAAATTTGAATTTGTCTGATCTAGGCAAAGAATACAGCATGATACTGCAGTGAGCTCAGCTGGAGTCCACAGAAAATGATTGGGTCAATATTCAGTAGTACCTACTTCATTGAATATGTGATCCTATAGTATCAGTTAGTATTAGGAGTGGGTGAATTTTCTCTTCTAAATCTACAGTGCCCTTAAGTGCTCTGTAAGATTGCTTTACTTAGAGTGAGAATTAATGTGATGACTAGACACCAAGTGCTGAGTCATTCCTATTCCTCCATTCTTGTGTTAGTATTTCCTTCGAAAGCTTGATCCTTTTGTGGACTGCTGTATTTATTTCTTGTTCAGCTAGAGGATTCTCATTTACTGCCAGTTAGACAATGAATGCCATCAACATTTTGTAATACCCACAGGAATTTTTGAGTGAGCTGCACCTGTGTGGCTGGAAAAATGCTACTAAATAGAATCCAGTACATTTTACTGAAAATAAATTTTATTGAAAACTTTATTCCTGGAGAAGGTTTAGTAAGTAAGTTAGCATGAATTCAAATTGAAATCTAACTAAGCATGAAGGCAATACTTTATTGTTTATTTCACAACATTAATAAATAGGAGTATTGCCATATGTTAGTTTTGAATAATTCTGAACAAAGATACTCAAATACCAATAATGAGATATTTGAACATGGAGAATTAAAAATAGCACATTTAAAGGTATTGCTGTCAATTTTATTTGGATTCAAGTTATACTTTGAAATTAATTCCACTTTGGACATTGCATGCCAGAAGTAAATCCTTTGCAGGCTGTAAGCTACAATGATAATAGATGATCTCAAAATACTTTGGGCTGTAGTTTAATGTTCCAGTTAATAGTTTAAGGCATGGGAGTCTGATAATAGTGATTTAAAGTTAAAGGTTCTTAGCCCATAAGGTCAGTCATCAGTTAAGTTGTCTTGATAGTACAAAGGTTAATACGTTACTAATAGCAATGTCTAGTCGAGTTTTGCCTGTGACATGCTGCCGCCTTAGAGATCAGCATGTGTTTCCAGAGACAAAAAAAAAGTTCAATGCCATTGGTATTAATTCCAGAGCCTATAATGGGATTAAGTGCAGAGAATAGTGTCATCTTTGTATTCTAAAATATAATTGCATGTGTTGATGATAGAAATGGATTTTACTTGCCAGCACTGTGAATTTATCTTCTAGCCAGTTTTCTCTCTTTCAAAAAAATTGTAGCAGTTTACTGTGGCCAGAGACATTGTGGATTTCTTTTTTTCCCCTTGAAATATCTTTATGAGTGTGAGGCTCAATAAAAACAGTTAAGTCCTGCAGCATTTCTGTTTGCAAAGTGCTGGAGAAAACCATGTGTCCATTTTCCACTTCTTTTGCCAACTAGTTTTCCAGTAAATTCAAACAGGAGGCAGGAATCTGATTAAAGTGACTGTCTCACAACAAGCTATGTTTTGTATATTAGTGGCTAAGAGGGTCTCATTTAATTACCAAATGCATATATAATTGTGAATAGTGCTTTCACAAAAAGATTTAATGTCTTCCATAACGCTGCAGAGTTTCTTGTCCCTCACAAGTAGCATTTAAGAAGGAGCTTTAAGCAGTTTAGTTGAATGCTTTTGGGAACCGTGTGATTCACACAACTTCCTTGGCAGCAACTTAAGTCTGTTCATTCTGCCTTGCTGTGGTTTGAGAGAGAGAGAGAGGATGTAGCTGCAGAGCTTATAGTATGCTAACTGTTCACAGTTTCTAGTTGGATTAGCTGCAAAAGACATCTCTGTTGCTGCAGTGTTAGCTGAAAGGTGCTTGTCATTTATGGTATGGCTGTTAGGTTGTTTTGGAAGGTATAACTCAATAAACTTTTCCAGAACAAAGGAAAAGATTTAATGCAGTAAATGGTAAATGTAAGCCTTCTAAGCAACTGAAGTGCCTCAGAATTTGCACACTACGTGTAGCTCAGTCAATAAATATTCTGTTATGCTTACTCTTTCTCATCATATTATTTGGAAAAGTTCAGGGTGCAGTGCTAAGCAGAACATACAAAGTGGTTACTCATTCTCTGGAATATAACATATTTACTCTTGAAAAACAATATAAAAAGTTAAAATAATGGTAAAATAATTACCATATCCAGAAAATTTTATCTAATACTAAGTGACTCAAAGACTGGTCTTGATTCTGTGATTTTTAATTAACCCCTTCATTAAAATTAATACCTAGCATTAAATTTTAGCAGCAGCCAAGCCTCTGCTGTGGGTAGCCCTTATTTTGGGGCAGGGTTGGACCTCGCCACTCCTTTTTTCTTTTTTTTTTTCTTTTTTTTTTTTTNTTTTTTTTTTTTTTCTTCTTTTTTTTTTCTTTTTGTTTTTTATCCCAAGTAGGTCTTGTTGTAATTCTTGAGGGGAATATAATTAGACCAGAGGTTTTCTATTACCATCATATTGGGAAAGTGGAATAATTTATCTGAAACAGGTATATTCTCTTCTTTGTTACTGGCGTAAAATTCAGCCCATATTGCCAAGTCCATTCAGCTTTGAGAGCTAGCTCATAACAAGCTTAGAGTACATATTCTAATTAATTAGAAGAGGTCAATTATTGGATGTAGAGTATGTGATATATAAGAGTTGAAAATCTAGAAACAGAAGGAAGAAAGTCTGGGGAAAGTTTGCACATTTGTAACCCTTTGAACTATACTACATCAGTGATATCTTTACAGCAGTTACAGCATTTTATAATAAAATACCCCCACACCATCATTTTCCATGTAAACACTGAGTTTGACATTTTGTTTTGTGATTTGTTTTACTGGTTGCTTTGGCAACTAATAAATAGTTTGTGCTAAGTGCTTTAGCAGCCAGTCATTCTGTGGAAATGAGGATTGTTTAATCCTTGTGCAAGTTCTTGGTCATTGCTTCATGTGCACCATGTCTGCTTTTCTTACACAGGACTTAGGGTAGAAATGGAAGAAGTAAGTTTTCTTCACATAAATTTACAGACTGTCCAGAAAACTTTACTCTTTGGTTTACATTCTCTTCCTCTATTATACTTTCCTCAGAAACTTCTACAACTCACTGGAGTATTTTTGAAACAAATCAATACCA